TTATCAATGTCAATAAAACTGGGCTTTGTTATTTTTGGAAAAAAAAAAAAAAATAAAAATAATATATAGTAATAAGTTAGTCCTATATAAAAAAACTCTTTTCACTAATCCTCTGACCACATGCAAAAAAAATGTTTGCAAGAAGTTTTATACTTCTTTGCTAATAAAGTCTTTACACTTTTATTAAAACAACTTGAAACTTGACTCATTTATCTCCCTTATTCTCCTCTACTTATTTATAAACACTTTTGAATAAAAACTTGGGTCTCTAATGACCTGAAAAGATCCAAGTATATACTTTCTCTATTAAGGACTAGAAGGTTCTAAGAAGTAAAAAAATTGACAAGTAGAGTGTCACCTTATAGAGCTGAAGTAACAGAAATAGAGATTTTGTCAGCAGGGAAAGGTTTATTATTTATCTTATCAAGCTTTTCTAGTTCTCTTAAAGTGTTTACTATTTTTCACAATTTTTCTTGAGAGATTTTGCCTATCTCAGTTGGACCCTGAATTTCTGGTAGCACAAAATTACCAGGCTTTTGATTGGTTAACACGAAATACATTAGTAATTAAATGTAAACAAGTTTCTATTGGTCATCTCACATGTTCCGATGATATCATTGATGATAGAAAGAGTTGATTGATACCTCGTGTCCACCCACTCCTTCAATTAGATTAATCTACAAATCAAGTTCTATGAGACCAATAAAATATGAGCAACAAGTCTCCAGGTGTTGAAAAAGTTACTATTTTATTTAAGCTGAGATCTTTCTCTCTTATCATTCCAGTCAAACAAAGTTCAAGAGCAAGGTCTTTCCTTTATCCCGGTCAGGCAATAAAATCAAATAGTCTCTAGTCCATGCTGAGCTTCAATCCTTTGAATAAAGTTGAGAATGTATTTTTTCAAAAGTTGTTAAAGGATATCGCAATCGACGAGAATCCCTACTGCTTTTCTGGTACTCTCCCACTATTGTGAAGCAAAAAGATCTTTGGGAAATAACTATTTTAGGCAATAGAAGATATACACCAGTAAAATTCCTTTAACTAGGTGTGGCTGCTGGAAGGTATTATACTAAAATAATATGATCCAGTTCCTACTAGGTTACATAAGAACCTAGAGTCTATTGTATGTCATTTTTTCATCATAGGTGAATAAAAAATCACTGCCTAAAGAAGGTTGGGACCAAGTGTGTCCTGGAAGTAAAGGCTCCCACTAGGTAATAAGTCTTCTCAGATGATACACAAGAAGGAAATCAGGATCAAGAATGGATAAGTTTCTTAGATAGTCAGGAAAAGAAAGAATATCTCAATCAAACATTTCTTATTGAGAAGCAGGTCTTTGGAAGAAGCTGGAAATAATTTTTTTCTTTTTTTTATCTTTTCATTTTTTTGTAATCTACTTAGATATTTTTAGATATCCCCACTTTTTTTCAATCTATCCTTTTGTAGTTTCCTGTATTCCAGCAGTTTGGATCGATATATGATAGTGATAATATGCTGGCAATTATACAGTGGACTAGGAGGGTCTTTATCCAAAGACACTGTGAAATAAAATATTGTTCTCAAGACCAAACTTAAAGATTATTATGCTTACAATGAGTTAGTTAAATTATGATAAAAGTTTAGCTATAGTATATATCATGTTGCTCGAATGAAAATGTACTTATGTTTTCATTTGATTAATAAACTGACAATATAGCCTGACTATGAGTATACAAAAAAAAATAATAATAATAAGTTAGTCCTATATAATAAAAAAAAACTCTTTCCATTGATTCTCTAACCATATACAAAAAAGAGATTTGCAAGAAGTTTTATACTTTCTTATTAATAAAGTCTTTATACTTTCATTAAAACAACTTGAAACTTGTTTTCACATATCTTTCTTATCTTTTCTTACTTGTTTACAAACTTCTTTGAATAAAAACTTGGGCCTCTAGTAATCTAAAAAGTCTCAAATATACACTTTCTCTACTAAAGACAAGAAGGTTCTGAAAAGTAAAAGAACTGACAAGTGAAATAATACTTTACAAAGTTAAAAGTAATAAAAAATAGAGATTTTGTTGATAGGAGAAGACTTATTATTCATCTTTTCACATATTATTTTGTTCTCTCTTAAATATATACTACTGTTTTTCATGATTTTTCTGTAGAATTTTGTTTATCTCAATTTGACTCTGAATTTTTGGTAATATAATATCACCTGATATTTGATTGGTTGATACTAAATATATTAGTAACTGAATGTAAACAAGTCTTTATTGGTCATCTCACATACTTTTATAATATTATTGGTAATTGAAAGAGTTGATTAATGCTTCATATCCACACTACTCTTTCAATTGGATTAACCTATAGATCAAGTTCCATAAGGTCAATAAGATATAAGCAACAAGTCTTTAGGTGATAAAAAAGTTACTATTTGTTTAAGTTAAGATCTTTCTCTCCTATCATCCTGATCAGGCAAAGTTTAAGATCAAGGTCTTCTTTTTATCCTGGTTAAACAATAAGATCAAATAGTTTCTAGTCTATATTAAGCTCTAACCTTTTGATTACAATCAAGAATGTATTTTCCTAGAAGTTGTTAAAGGATATTGCAATTGATGAGGATCCTCATCAATTTCAAGATTCTTCTATTATTATAAGACAAAAGGATTATTGGGAAATTTAACCTTTTGAATAATGAAAGATGTATATCAGTAAAATTTCTTTAATTAAGTGTGGCTGCTGGAAGATATCATATTGAAATAATATGATTCTATTTCTATTAGGTCATATAAGAACTTGAGATCCATAATAAGTCATCTCTCTATTACCAGTAGATAAAAAATCACTGCTCAAAAAAGGTTGGAATCAAGTATGTTCTGAAAGTAAAGGTTTTTACTAAGCAATAAGTCTCCTCAAATGATATATAAGAAGAAAATCAAAATAAAGAATGGATAAGTTCCTCAGATGGTTAAGAAAAGAAAAAATATTCCAATCGAGCATTTCTTATTGAGAAGAGATCTAGAAAAGTAGGTCTTTGGAGAAAGCTAGAAATATTTTTTTCAATTTTTATTTTTTTATTTTCTTATTATATGTTTAAAGATTTTTAGATATCCCCCCTCCCTTTTTTTCAACCTATTCTTTTATAGTTTCTTGTATTCCAGGGGTTTGGTGTGATATATAACAGGACAATTTGCTGGCAATAATGTAGTGGATTAGAAGGATTTTTATCCAAAGACATTATAAAGTAAAATATTGTTCCCAAGGCTGAACTTAGAGACTTTTATGCTTACGACAGGTTAGTTAGATTAGAATTAATAGTTTAACTATAGTATGTATCATGCTATTCAAATGAAAATATACTTATGTTTTCAATTGATTAATAAACTGACAATCTAGCCTGGCTATGGATACTCAAAAAAAAAAAATAAGTTAGTTCTATAAAGATGATGAATTATAAATTAAAAAAAAAACATTAATAAATAAATTAATAATATTTATAAAAGTTAATATAAAAATAATTAAACATAGAACATACAGTATATAAAATACATATTTTAAAAGTTCTTGAAAAAGAACTTTCTAATCAAACTAATTAATAATAAACTTTTAATATTGATTCAGCGAAAATCAGATCTAGGAAAGAATAATATAGGTATATACAGTTATTTGTATTTCTTCTATACATGCAGTATATCATTCTTTTATACAAATAAAGGCCAAGTTAATGTTTTATACTGAATGTACACAGTATATATTGTATTATTATATACAGTATATATATATTTTATTCATGTTTAACTTCTGTATTTTTTATATTGTCAACATGTAAAAAAAAAAATGCCATCATCTTTCTCAGAATTTAACTTTCAAAACTCGGCGATTGCTCTTACCTAGACACGCGCATTTCTTTAATAATTAATTTTAGAAACAAACAAACCAATTAATATTATAAATAAATTCTAAATAATTGACTGACTTAATAATTAATTTATTTAGTAATGAAAAAAATTCAGATGCCATAACTGGTTATTCTGTTAAAGTGAATTCGGCTTGCATTGACCATTCATTGCATAAATTTGCGTTAACCCACGTTTGGCACCCTTTCATCAACATCACCAAGACTACTAACATTTGTCGATTTTTGGCCATAAAGGTAACTAGATTGCCGCAGATATTAAGGAGACGGTGTGGGTCAAATGAAAGAGATGAATTGTTGTTCGTTGGATGAAATGTTATTATTAAAACGGCATTCATCGATGCTTATTTATTTTCTCGGGAAAGTTTCTTCCAAGTTTGGAGTCTTGGTCAAAAATCGATAATCATTTCCAAAGATCGTTACACACGCCCCCGGTATTCTTGTTTTCTCTCTGGTGCATTTTAAACACTGTTTTTTTTTTTTTTTTTCGGAAATCGGTGTAATCAAAGATCTATCGAAGTGTTAATGACAACAATGGTGTTTTACTCAAAGACTAGTGTCATTCGAAGTTACAACATAATCGAAAATTTTAGATCACTTATCTCCAGGCATAATGCTGGTGCAAGGTTTGTAAGGATCCGTGGGGGCTCTGGGCGAGAGAACATTAATGGTATTTGTGTATATATTTTTTTATATGTACTTTATTTTTCATATCTTATTCTACTTCATCGGGTCTCACGATCATTCAACAATATCAAAAGCATCCTATACCACATCATCTTCCCCACTATCCTCATCACCTTCCCAGGAAAAGCATCCTACGCAAAAATTTATCTACCTTCAGCCTCACTTAAATTACAAGCATTTTCTCAACAACTCTGAAAAAATATCTCAAAATATAATTAATCGCAATCTGAAAGATGCCAACATCTCGTTAGTGGGTCGTCTATACACCAGGTTCTGTGGTCTTACTTCACTAATAAATTCTCAAAGAAACAAACGTAATGAAATTACCAAACAAATAAAATTCACTCGGAACAAAGACGAAAAAAACAAACTTGTCGATCAAGCAAAAGAGATTAAAGAGGAAATTCAGAGAATGGAGGTTGAGTTAAATAGGATTGAAGAAGAAATGCTGACGGAGGGACTGAAAATTCCTAATGATACACATGAGGATGTTAGAGTTGGCGGTGAGGAGGTCTCTAAGGTTGTGAAGATTGTTGGAACGCCATTGGGTGAGCCTCTAGAACCTTCGGACTCCGCAATATCCTCAGCTACGCAACTTGATTCAGTTGCAAACAAGAAAATCAAAGATCACGTAGCAATCGCGAAAAAATTTGATTTAATAGACTTCGAAGCGGCATCAATTGTTACTGGTACAAGCTGGTATTACTTGCGAAATGCCGGGGCGCTATTAGAGTTGGCATTGATACAATATGCCATGCAAAAACTAATAAACAAAGGTTATACACCAGTGATTACTCCGGATGTGGTCAGGACCGAGTTTAGTAATGCATGTGGATTTCAACCAAGGAATGATGAGCTTTCTCAAAATTATTTTGTTTCAACGAGTGCGCATATTTCGTCTGAAGATTCTGCGCCTTATCAACGTGCGTTATCGGCAACAGCAGAAATTCCACTTGCGGGAATTTATGCAGGCAGAATATTGTCTGAATCACAGTTACCCATACGAATGGTGGGATTTGGAAGGGCATTTCGGGCAGAGGCGGGAGCACGAGGTCAAGACACGAAAGGGCTTTACCGTGTACACCAGTTTAGTAAAGTTGAGATATTTTGTTTGACCAGGCCTGAGGAAAGTGGTGCGATATTGGACGAAATTGTTGATATACAAGAGGAGATATTTCGTGAATTGGGATTGTGTTTCAGGTGTGTAAGAGACTTTCTTTTAGTAGGTCTAGTGATTGTTTGCTTATGCATGTAAAAAGTTACATGAAAAAATTACGTGCAGGATTTTGGACATGCCTACACATGAACTTGGAGCTAGCGCGTACAGAAAATACGATGTTGAGGCTTGGATGCCCGGACGTGGGAGATGGGGAGAGGTATTTTTGATGGTTCAAACATTATTTTATTTACTTGCGTAATGAACTTTTCAACGCGTTTCCTTCTACAAACGCTTCTCTTTAGATATCCTCTGCCTCTAATTGCACTGACTACCAGTCACGTCGCCTAAACATCCGATACAAACCTTCGACTTCTTCATCGGAAGAACAAATAAACAATGATTTAAATGATATCGCGAGACAAAAGATTCAACAAACGCCGCACACAGAATTTGTTCACACACTGAATGGAACTGCAATCGCAGTGCCGAGAATGATTATAGCAATACTCGAAAGTTTCCAAAGGGACGATGGGAAGGTGAAAATACCGGAAGTGTTACGAAACTGGATGGGTGGGATGGAAACTATAGGATGATCGAAGGACGAATATGGTATACGGAAATTTTTGTTGGACAAAGAAAGTTTAAAACCACTTCTCGAGCTACTATTAATCAACCAAAATGACCTCAAACTCTTTCCTAACAGAATTAAAACACTTTATTTTCCTTCCTTCCTATGCACGCGGAAAATAGATGTTGAATATTAAAAGATAAATTTGAGCGCGCGAAAATATTTTTCTGACGCACCAGACATGCGAAACAAACCTGCATCGCAATTTTTAGGTCATCAACGGTAATCACGCCAGACATGACTTCACCAATCTCTATCAAATGGCCTCTCATCACACCCGGCAACAACCCTAAATTTGTAAATTTAACCGAGAGGCTGTTATTCGATGTATAATTAGCGTTCTTGAAATAAACAACAAAATCGCGTACCACATCCAACCTCTGGGGTTTTCCATCCTTCGTGAAATTCCACAGCAATATTAGAAATTGTGCACTCTGTAATTTCGTTATTTTCATTATACATCAAGACATCAAATATATTTCCTTCGGATTGGTCTGAACCAGGAAATAGTGGAAGGCCTGCCTTGAGAGCATGTGCATATCATGTGAGATAATATATGTAAGCAAGAAGTCGTCGATTCGTCACTCACTCGTGTCCTCCACTTACTCGAATCCTTGCATCACCATAAATACTCCTATTTGTCGTCTTGTGACGTAAAAAAATATTATCGGAAGAGGTGTGTTTCTTATCTAAAACTATCCTTAATGGCCCTGAGAATGTAGATAGATCACTGCATTAAATAAATCGCTTAACAAACTCGAGAGCGAACGAAAGTTATTGATAAACCTTGAGGGACGAGGGACGAAGATGAATTTGGCAAGATAGTGCTTGTGATTCTTATTTTCCCGTCTCTGTCAACAGTTAGTCTCACCTAAATTTCGACTTTAGTATGTTTTTAAACGGCGCAAAAAATCAGCCAAGCGATTTATAAAATACGTGCCCTTTGCTTGACTTCCTTCCCCAACTTCTCAATACCTTGACACAATTCTTTTTCAACCACACATTTGAATTCCGAACTTGCGCAACTTTTAAAAATCCCGGATTTTGAATTTTCCGAAAAACATAGAGCGGATTTTGTCAAACGTTCCAAATGCTGGTCCAGAAGGAAAAAACCTGCAGTCAAAATCGCATGAAACCCTCCCGAGAGAATATTTCCAGCGCGGATATTACAAATTTGGGATTATTACCAGATGGAGGATCGTAGAGAATTGTCTCGAGGAGCTCAAATTCTATGTCATCCATGATTCGTTGAACCACAATTGGATCAATTAGCTAGTAATGACGAATTTTTCTTCGCATCCGTTTTCACAATCGAGATAATAATGTGTTCATTGGTCACGTGATGGGTAGGAACGAATAGGCTCATGAATCACCTCGAGACCTCGGAGGCCGGAAAAGAAAGATCGAGTTGCCCGCAGCGAAAATATGCTGTCGACTGAATAGGCAGCGTCGTAATGAAATTTTGCAGTCACGTGCGCTCACGTCAGTTCGCGTTAATTGCCGTTACCAAGGATCAGTGATGCTGTGATTATATAAAGGTCATCCTCATACTTTTTTAGCTCCTCTTAACTTCAACATTACCAACAAACTTAATGTATGGATTATCCATCTTTCATGTGAAAAATTCCAAGTTTTCATCACTATCGCAAATTAGATAAATTACCGAAATTACCATTTCTTTGCTTAATAAAGGATACGCGTAAATATGAATATTTCCGAGGTTAACTCATATCCTAAGGACGATGATAACAATCTCTATCCAATATTACCGAAGAAAGATCTACCCTTTCGTCCGTGGAATGCAAAAGCCTTGGACCTCGATGTTAAGGTAAAGGTCTCATCAAATCGGTCATCTTATTATCGCGAGTATGAAGATCAATTCGCCAATTAATCCGTCCCATCGATATAAAAATTTGAGGTCGCGGATCCATCAAGAACGGACATCAAAGTGCCTTTCAATGATCATAATCATCAATACTCGGATCAAAGATTGACGCCGGGAACTCCTGAAATTATCGAAGGTCATCGCGTTTATGATATCAAGATGGACACCACAGTTAACGGTAAAATTCTGAATTGATGAATTTATAATCACGGTGGGATTCTATAGAACAAGAATTTCTTTTATGCAGCTCCCGCGGAAGAAGTAATCATGGTAAATTTTTTTGGTGAAAATCCGAAGATAACGACTAGATTGGATCACGGTGAACTCGTTCAAAGCAAAATCATGGATGAGAAAAAACAGGCATCATTCATCACAAATAATTCGAATATGCTTTATTATTCTTTAGAACAATATTTAACGTTGTTTAAGCCCACTTCTAGATCGTTTCAAATAATTTCAACGAAGGAAGACCTCGAGACATCCGTTACAATTACACCAGGGGTGATCATGAGACTTCAAGACCAAGATCTAATAGTGTGACTATAACGTCCAAATCAAGGAAGCATCTTAGCCACTTTCCGACCGTAAATAGAGAACCTGAAGAAGTTGAAGTTTGTTATTCTTCTTATTTAAATTTAACATATCCCAAACTCGTGGTATGGTATGATTTATGTCATGATCTTAAATTTAGTCTAAAAGAAAACCCTCGTGGACGGGATATAACGCTGTGGCAAAAGAGGTGAGGTTAGCACGCGTTGCATTTAAATTCGAACATCGCATTGACTCATATCTTTCCAAATCCGGCGGCAAATTCATTTCACCAACAGTCAAAGCATGCCGAGTATCGTCAGCAAAGATTTCTCGAGCTGAGTGGTGATCATGGCAAACGATTTCAAAGAAGACCTAGAAACAACAGGTATAATACATCTCAAAATTTACGTGACGTTCTTTTTCGTTTATACGTATTGTGTTGACAAAACCAACTCTCATCGTAGTACATCAGATTTTGAATTAATAAGCAAAGAACTTGAGGGGATCGATATTTCTTCGGGCAAGAATCGAATCATGCCTTGGGAATCATCGTCTGAATCCATAATTGCGCCGAAGTATAATGTCGTTAGAGGATCGGAAATTTCTGTTTCAGCTGGGTGTAAAGGAGGGAGCAACAAAAATCCGGAATGGAGTCAACCCAATGTTTCGGAATTGGCTGAAAACGTCGAAATCGAATTGATCAATGTGGAAGGAGATAGGGTTCCAAGATGGAACCAGCATAAGAATAAAAAAAATTATACAGACATTTCCCAAACAGCGGGAAACGCTAGAACTGGATGGGACGAGAGGGAAAAAATTGGAAGACAAGGATGTGATCACACCAGAGTCTCTCAGGCACCTTGTAAAGTTGGGTGTGATTGGGCAGGTGAAAAACCGGTCGAAGATGAACGAGATCGGCCCGATATTTTTCAGGTGGCTGATGGTATCAAACCGGGGTGGGAAGATGATGCGCAAGAAGGTAGAAAATCAGAGTGGAATCAGATCAAGGCCTTTAAAGAATTTAATGAAGTTGGTGACGATTGGACTGGTGAAAAGTTGACTAAGAAAACGCACGATATCCCACAAACGACATGCCATGCCAAGTCTGGATGGGTCGACAACAATAAAAGCAGAGAATCAGAGTGGTGGAATCAGCCTAAAGTCTCTCAAGAATCTGGCAAAGTCGATAATGAATGGGCTAATAAAAAAGAACAAAATTGGAATTCTGAGGGTTTAGGGGATAGAGAACCTTTAAAGTCGATGGATTGCGCGCCCATACCGCAGAATAATAAGTCGGGTCGTGAAATAGCCGAAAAAGAAAGGTCATACTGGGATCCCGCCGCAGGAGTCAAAGATAGGTGGTCTGATGCTGCAAACATGGAAATAAGGGAGGAAAAACGTGATAATAGGAAAATCTCAACTTGGGATGTGCCTCGCTCTCCGAAAGTTAATGCCCCTTGGGATGTTCAGGCCGGTTGGAATAATCCAGCAATAAGAGATGATTCTCATAGTGGCTCTGAAGACGTCCGCAAAATTACCGAATGGGGCCATTCGATCAAGGAAATTCCTGGCGATTCTAAATCGCGCTGCACGAATGTACAGTGGACAAATGCAGCTTCAACAAAGGAGAGAGCGGTTCGAAGAACGTCAAAAGGAGACGTTGAAGAGTTCGCCGAAAAAGATGACAGTTCCGGACAGAGGGTCCAAGTCAATGTGAAATCAGATAAGGTAGATATAAGTCAGGACATCGCCGACAGCAGAGCACATTCTTCAAATCCAACCAAGCAATCGAGGATGCCAACTACAGATATCAAATCTCGGAACATGCTTCAAAACGAAACTTCCGATGCCGAGGTGAAACAACTAATGTTTGATGGCTCGAAGTTTGTACCTGAGTCTGGCGCTCCCAGAGTTGAAACCTTGGTCAACCTTGAATTTTCGCCCCCAGCTCCCGCGACCATTCTTCCATCATCAAAATTACCAGAAGAATTGAAGCAAATTAACTTTGAAGAGTATATAAAACAAGAGATGGAAAAGGAAGTCAAAGAAGCCAGAAGGAAAAGTCAGGATCCGAGAATGGTATAAAAAACAATGAATCATTAATTAATCATTGATATCATATCACCTAAAACTTGTTGCATTCGGAATAAGTAATTCATCACCTTTTGATGTATAGTCGTTCCGCAAATCCAGTTTCTTGGAGGAGTTCGACCCGCTGTCATGAATTCCGCCCGCAAACATCAATAGGAATGTAAACACGTATATGGGTTTAACGAATATTTGCTATTTACAACAGTCAGATTTGCATCTGATGTATTCATTAGTATATGATGTTATTGTGCTAATACCACGAATGGTTCTTTAATGAAGAACTTAATATGGATGTTGTTTGGTGGGTTATGTACTGTACGCATATGTACAGTAATATACATTAATGTATGATGCGAAGAGGATTATTATTTTTGAATTGATGATCCATGCTACTTTTAATGAGAATTGATCGGTGATGACCTATGAGCATGCGATACATATAAAATTTTCACTTTTAATTTTATCAAATGTCGAAACAAAGAAACGTTCAAGAGACTTCGACCGTTCGGTGAATAAGAAAAGTCATCAAAGTGCACATTATCCATGTTAACATTATTTTGACCAACGATTCTCGTTTCATAAGGCTCGCAATTGACGTTTCGAAGCTTGAGCCCTATTTGCAAGCCAATATACCTGAATTCAAGGCTCCCCTGGAGGTTCGTCAGTTCAAGTTCGGACAAAGCAACCCCACCTATCTCTTAATTGACGCAAAGTATGAATCTGAGCATTTGATTCCATCTGCTTTAGCGCGAACTGCATTTTAATTTGCAAAATTCTTGGCAGCAAGAGACGCTATGTTCTTCGAAAAAAACCTTCCGGTGTTCTTCTTTCAGCAATAGCCCACGCCGTCGAACGAGAATATCGAATACTCGATGCCCTAGGCAGAAATACCGACATTCCAGTTCCCAAAGTTTACCTCCTTTGCGAAGACAGTAACACCTTGGATACCCCATTTTATGTAATGAATCAATTATCTTTGAATTCTTTTTGAAAATTTTTTTTACTCTACTTCTTTTTAACTTTTTAATTGCATTCTTTTTTTGTCATTCATTCATTCATTCGATTCCACCCTTAGGTGATGGAGTTTTTAGAAGGTAGAGTTTTCGAAGACTTACGACTCTTATCTCTTTCCCCGGAAGATCGTAGGAAGTGGTAATAATAGTGCGGATACCTGCATTTGATTTTTTTTTCTTTTTCGTGATAATTTATTGTTTAACTTATCGTTTGCAGTTGGTATTCGGCCATCGAGGTGCTTGCCAAACTTCACTCGGTTGATTACAAGGCCATCGGCCTCGGCACTTTTGGAAAATCCTCGGGTTTCTACCCTCGACAGATCCGCTCGTTACTTCGAACTTCCGCGGCTCAAGCCGTCGTCAAGGACAAAAATGGAAATCAAGTGGGTCCCCTTCCGAGGATTGACGATAGGATCCGATGGTTTGAAAGAAACGAGGTGCCCGATGAAACGACCATAGTGCACGGAGATTATAAGGTATATAGGAAAATCGTTAGCGAAAGTTAATTGCATTCCCGGAGAAAACAATGAAACGAATTCCCATTACTTTTACCCGATTAGCTTGATAACCTGGTCTTTCACCCGACAGAACCCAAGGTCATAGGTGTTTTAGATTGGGAGCTTTCAACTATTGGACATCCTCTTTCCGACCTCGCAAATTTGTTGCTAAACTTCTACATCAAAGATTCAATCGGACCTCTCGTCGGATTGCGTGACTTAACCGACCTACCCATCCCTTCGGCTGATGAATTGATGCAATTTTACTGTAAAAACGTCGGAAGACCGTATCCAATACCCCGATTCGAATATGCCATAGTGTTTTCGTTCTTCAGGGTGAATATTCATTCAACAGTCTTGTGCAAGAAACAGAGCTTTCGCTTAAATACAAAGTTACACGATTGTTTATTCGTTTTACTAATGCGAAACTTCTTTGTTCGTCAAACAAGCTATCGGTTATCGTTCAAGGGGTAACTGCTCGAGAAAAACTCGGGCAAGCGAGTTCCGCTGAAGCAAGGTTGTACACGTCTTTACTAAAGCTGATTTCAAATTTCGGATTTGATATTATTGATCGGGGGGATTTGGGAGATTTGAGTGATTCGAGTGGTAAAAAAAGCAAGTTATGATGAATGAAGATTTGTTTCAGCGAGACCGAAAAGTATAGAAACGCGTGGAATTTACAAGCATCAAATTTTTCGGTGAATGTCATCATTTGTGTATGCGCACAACTATTGGAACATAAGATCGAAGTTACTGTATATCTTCCTGCGATGAAATACGATTTCCTCCTATTTTTCTTAACTATCATAATCTCAAGTTTCTTTTCATATACAATCGCCAAGGGTGACATGAAATAAGAATCTGTGAATCACATAGGTAAATCACTCGTCCATGTACTGTATGCGTGCACCGCACCATCTTAACATGTAAGCAGTATAAACGATTCCGTTCATCATGAAATTCAAAGACAACTGCCGGAATTGTTTTTTTTTTTTCAATTTTTAAAATGACATGTTACAACAAAGTGAGTCACTGCGGTGATTGAAAATTTACGTTTCTCCTTCCCACCATTTAATTTCCAATTGATTATTTTACGTAATCAATTACTTTCTGTGTCTTAATCCTGCGCGATTTACTTTATTTCGCGATTCCAGTCGTGATCGATTACTTCGGATTGACAGATTAAGCCCTTTTTTAGGCTTTGTAAAAATTTCGTCATTAATTATTAATTGCAAATAAATGATGTGGTAATATTATAAAGACGTAACCAAATAAATTGCAATAATGACACGCCATGAATTTTTGATAAGAATTTTTGTGTTAACTACAGAAAAATTCTATATAAATATGTGATTAGAGTGAAAATAAATGTAAGATCTAAAAAAAAAAATTATTTCCTGCCGGAATTTTCATCCCTTCTTGATCGGTCTCTCATTACTTTTCATCCTCTGAAAAAGATTGAACAACATTCGAAGCAAAAAGAGCACGAGCTCACACAATAATAATCCTCAAATTTCAACGATGGAAAAAAATATGTCCAAAACAAAAGACATACTCGTGGAAACCAGTTATAAAGGTACTGACGTTTATTTCCGCACAACCACGGAGGTATTCACCACCATGGAACTTCTGTCGAGTCTTAATTCGGAAAGTTTCGTATTAAATGACGTCAAAAGCGGTCCGGTCGCGGTGGACTTAACGGAACAAAAAAATACTCGCGAGAATTATGATTCCGATGACACCATGATCTCCGAGAATCTCGACAACTCGGTAAACTCTTCATTATCTTTCGAAAACTTCAATGATAAGGATAATACAGAAAATGTAGCAGAAATTTCTCATCATCGCAACGTAAGAAGAACATTTAGCATAAGCTCGTCGATTGAGAACTCGATTAACGACAATGATTTTTCCGGAAATCCGCCAACAAAGGGATTCTGCACTCTCACGAGAAATGGATCCGTTGGCTCTGATATCTTGGTGACCGACAGAGACCATGAGGCAGGTGGAAGGACGTCTGCCAACGGTTGGAAAGGCATTTCAAACCGTGAAGAGCTAGTGGGTGGCAAAATTACTACCAAGGAGAGAGAAGGTGTCGATGTTGAGCTTAATGGTGAAGTAAACCAGGAGCAGAATGATTACAGCGGATGCTGCAGAACTGAGGATGGTACGAAGATAGTTGAGAAAGTTATCGGGCATCGCTGGAAGGCAAATGTGAATGTGAATTCATATATTTAAGATTGAGGTTTCACGCGATATGCCACTGATACCCTTTTCTTTTAGGGAAAATTGCAGTATTTAATTACTCTGAAAAACATTCGAAGTCCAATCTGGGAATACGAGTCTCATCTGTGAGTTTGGCTTATTTTGTATGTATAGTGTGCAATTTCCGTTCATTCTGGATCTTCATATTAATTTAACTTTATTTCTTAATAGTATCAACTCCTGTGAACTTGTTCACAATTATTGGGTTCGGGTCGGTAGATCCCAATTAGAATCAATCAATCATCCCCTGGTTCAATTCTTGAAGGTTCCGAAAGATACACAAGGGGGTACGCCTCTTTCTTATGCGCATGTAGGAAGAAAGTTAGAAACGGGTTTCCGTGAAAAAAACAATAACATCGAATCTCATCGAGATTTGACGCCACAGCCTTCAAATAATAAAGATTATCATTTTGGTCATGAAAAACAAGGATCGTGCCACAGAACGCGAGGAGCCTCCATTCTATTTGAAGGCTCCGTCGAAAGCGGTATCAATTTGAACTCCAACAAGAGAGCTAGGATTGAGATTGAGGTTGACGATTCAACGATATTAAAAGCGCTCCGTGAAACAAATACATGCACCGACATAGTCGAACAAAATGTCGGTCATCGTGAAGTGGAAACATCCTTGGAAATCAGGAGTGATGAAAATGAGAATGTTTCAGGTATAGATTTGCATGCGTACCAGAAGAATGGTGTCGTTGATAGGAATTCGCAATGCAATATAACTCATAAGGAAACCGATGAAAATAATGGTAATACCGAAACGTGCAATGTCAACATTGCTGACTTGGATTCTCTTCAATCAATTTCTCATACGGAAGACAGTCAAGAGCGCGTCTCGTGCAAGCATTTGAACGAATCCAATATTCCTCAACCTGAAGATTCCGTCCATAATGACATTGCTGCGGACGTTGACGGTGCCCGTAAGGAACCCAAAATACATATTAGTCATTATGTAAATGTTAATGTTGATCACAAAGGAATTGGCGAATCCAAAATTTTTCAGAAAGAAGGGTTGGATTTTTGTCAAAGTAAGATGGATATAGAAATGGACGTTGACGACCTTCAAAGCGAGAAAAATTCATTGCATGATGAATCGACGCATCTGGACTTTCGTAAAAGTGAAAGTAACGTCAAGCATTCTCAAGTAATCCGCCAAGAATCCATTAAGCGTGTGTCCGTTCAGGTAAAAGGATCCGCTTGTCCACTCAATTCCGAGGCCACCATCGTTGAGTCGCATCGCTATAATTTTTTGCGTGAAATCGCATCGAGAAACGAGACCCACACTAATGTCGAAGACGATACGGTGATTGATAGAGACAACATCGACACCAATATGGCATCAACAAATCAAAAAAGTTGTGGTGAATTTGAGTGTAAATCTTTACCGACGAGCGATCACAACAAAGAAAGTGAAGAGAAAAATATTCAACCTTATGATACCAGGAAAAGAAAAGGTGAAGACGAGATTGATTTCAGAATTTTTAAACTCAACCCCATATTGCCTGAAGATGATGAATACGAGGACTTCTCGGAAGATAGTAACACGTCAACTGGAAACGTCAGTATAGTTACAAATTGGGATCCATATGTAGAATGCATTGAGACTGTCCAACGAGATCCCAGTACCAAGAAGTTGTATATGGTTATTCGATGGTATATACATTTTTATTTATTTGTTAATTATTATTATTATTCGTCATATTTTTTATTTATCAAGTATAACCCAATATTTTTTTTTTTAGGAAAAACGGACTGAAGACTGTTCATTGGGCCGATGATGCCAACCAAAAATGTCCTCATAAGGTAATTTGCATCTTCGACAAAATCTTTGGTGGTTGAGCCCATAATTGCGTGATGGTTTTAAAAATTTTTTTAATTGTTCTTCATATCAACAGATACTCGATTTTTATGAATCGAAAATAAAAATTGTAATCCGAAGATCCTGAAATATTGTGGGAACCACAATCCTTTTTCTTTCGAATATTAAATATCAACGATTTATCGGGATGTCCTTGTTCATCCATCTTTGCAGGAATATTTTGGATACTAATGTATTTTAGTCTGATATCACTTGAGGAATTTTGCTTAGCTAAATATACTGTATTTTACGAATATTCATATGCAGCGAAGTTCTTTTACATTTACAAATATCATTACTCAACTTTCTCTGGAAATCCATAGAAGAACTATTAGGCGTTTCTCTGCGATGCTTAATAAGAAAAAAAAAATCTTTGCCGTATGTAAAAGGTGCATCCTGTGCATGTAAACATTAATTTTGCATTCACTTTAAGCACTGCAGGTGGCATGACACAGTCCCTTATAACAAAACGGTATAATAAAAATATAAGAAAAAAAGTCCCCAGAACGCTAGAAGGTTCTTTCTACTCGCTTTTGAAGAGTGAACGTTTCTAAAAAAAAAAATTTTTTTTTTCTTCTACAAAGCAAATTAGCGTGGTAAACTCACGCTCTTTCGTGTTTTATCTATTTACCATAAGTAAAGATGGATAATTATATGCAACATTGGGATTCTTCTTTTCATACAATTTTATTATGTTTGTTAAGTAACTCGGAGAAGAATCGTACAAACCAATTCTTCTAATAACGCGGTAATGAAAATTGAATAATTGAGAAAAAGAAACACCAAATATTTGCATTAAAACTTATTATATACTATCGGAATACTGCTATCAATTTAACCGTTATCTATTTTCATAAATTACTTTTACTTTTATTCGCTTTGATTTCTTGAAGTGTGTAGCTTTGGTCTTAGTAAGGTCTTTGTGAGTATTTTCTTGTAACCTCTAGCAGAACAATGGATCTTGTATTTATTTCACATATTTATGACTTGAGTTTGAATATTAAAAAGATGTAGCTCTGTTCTTAACTGGTTAAAGTCATTTTCTATTCCAGGAATTTGATAGCATTGTTTGAAGATATTCTCTTTTTTCTATATTTAGCTTTTTTTTATTATTTTATAGATTTGTGACTTTTTGAGAGTTTTGTTATTTGAAAATAATTATAATATTAGATCAAGTTCTTCTTATAAAACTGGTAGCATTGATTCTTTGTATCAATTCTATTAATATGTTCTTTTGATTTGTACTCTTTCTTCTAATTATTTATTAAAATATCAAAATCTTCTATACATTTTTAAAAGACTTCTTAATAATATATTCAAAAAAATTTTTTTTTGATTTTTATCTTGTTTATTGTAATGTATTCTATATTACCTTTTTTGATCTTAAATCTATTTAAGACAATTTTGATTTGTTCTTTATTAATCAAAAAATTTATTATTTTCTTTAATTTTTTATTAAATTTTTATATCTTCATTTCAAGATTTTTTTGATTTTTTTTTTAATATTTATTGCTTTTGTATTTCAACTAATAATCTTTAAACTTTCAATTATTTTTAAAATCTTTTTTTAAAAAAATATTATAGAATAATTAAACATATTCTATAAAAGGTTATAAACTTTTATTTATTTATTTTTTTTAACTTGCAATCATACTATGATGGCTTGTCTTTATTGAGAAATTAAAATAAATCTACAATAATTTACAAACTTTCACAAAATGACTAACTTATCTTCATATATAAGTATTCTAAATCAGATTTTAAAAACAATATTACACTCCTCTGATAGATTGATAATAATTTCTATCTATCAGAATCATTGCCAACAGTTTGTAACTGTTAATTGCTCAAAAATCAATGAATTATTAAGTTAAAAAGAGAAAAGAGAAAATGATTGAGGGAAGGGAACAATTCAAGATCTATTAAAAAAATTCAAAAATAAAAATAATCTCTTCTCAAAAGGAATCTATCTGATTGGAATAGTTTTTTTGCTTCACTTAAACCTTGAAAGAAATTTTCTTTTTTATCACCTGTAGTATTGGACAAGTCAATCTAACTAGTCTTTTATTTAAGTGAGCACTAGATTGAGATATCTCAAGAAAAGTATTTAAACCTTAACTTTTTTCTATTAAAGCTTTGTTATCACTTGAGAAACTTAGATAAGAAACATGAGTTTATAATTAATATTACCCATAACTTGATCTTTTAGTATTATAAAAGTTTTCATTAAGAAACTTGGGTTTTTGGAGACAAATGTTTTTGAAATCTTCTTTTCAATTATTAATAATTTCATCAGAACATGTAAATGTGAACAATAGGAGCTTGTTTATATTTCAAAAACTAACATGTTTTATATCAGTCAATCACTTTTGATAAGGATTTATGCTACCCAAAATTCAGGATCAAACTGAGATAGGTAAAATTTTTCAAAAAACCATGAAAGT